GGGAAGGGGCGGAGGGCTGGGGGGCGGCGGGTGGCTGGCTCGAGCCGTGCCAGGTGCAGGGTCTGCTGGCTGGGTGCTGGCAGGCTTGCACCTGGGACAGGCACTGTAGCCAGCCCGTGCCCCTTTAAGGGCTCTGGGGCCGGGAGGGGGGCAGACAAGTTTCCCTGGTGGTGCCCAGAGTGGCCACCAGGGAAAACTGGGGTGGGCTAGCCTCCCACTAGTTTGAATTAAGTGGCTACAGAGCCCTTAATTCGAACTACTTAATTCGAACTAGGCATTAGTCCTCGTAGAATGAGGTTTACCTAGTTCGAATTAAGCGCTCCGCTAGTTCGAATTAAGTTCGAACTAGCGGTTAGCCTGTGTAGCACCTATCAAAGTTAATTCGAACTAACGTCTGTTAGTTCGAATCAACTTTGTAGTGTAGACATACCCTAAGTGGGGGACAGTTGATGTGCATGCATTGGCACACTCACTATAGTATGACCGGCACTGCCCATGCGCATCAGCACCCTGGGTACTGCTACTAAAAAATTCCGATTATAAGTTCAGGGGTTCCCAAGACACCTACAGAGGAGCATCCACAGGGACACCCATCTTGAAGAACACCAGTTACTGCACAAGGTGAGTAACCTCTTTTATCCTTCCTAAGTTGGGATTAAAACATCTGTTGTTTCATTTAAAACAACAGGGCCTAGCAGTGTCTTCAGTAAAGGTGCACATGGCAGTTATTTCAGTGTTTCATTTGGGCTCTGCTGGCCACTCTTTGTTTGCTAATCCAGTGATAGGTCACTTCCTGAAAGGGCTAGAGAGACTCTACCCTCACATGAAGCAGCCAATACCTCCATGGGACCTTAAGCTTGTGCTGTGAAAATTAATGTCCCCTCCCCCCTTTAGCCACTAGCAACTGACTCCCTCCTCTGTCTTTCTTGAAAGGTAGCTTTCCTGGTTGCTATCACATCAGCCACAAGAGTATCTGAGCTTAAGGCCGTGACATCAGAGCCATCTTACATGATCTTCTATAAGGACACGGTGAAGCTCTGCCTACACCCAGCCTTCCATCCGAAGGTAGATTCACTTATGCCAGTCAGGACATTTTTTTTAGTGATCTTCTACCCAAAGCCACATGTATCAGACAAGGACATTTACTCCACTCTGGATGTTAAATGTGCCCTTCCTTCCTATTTGGAATGCACAAACCCTTTAGAAAGCCTACCCAGCTGTTCATCTCCATTGCAGACAGGGGTGGCCCGTGAGGCTAGGCAAACTAGGCAGTTGCCTAGGGCGCCGCTGGCCTGGGCGCCCGATGATGACGTCATGGGGCGCCGGGGCGCCCCATGATTACATCACGGCCATTGGCGGCCGTGCAGGCAGGGGCGCCAATCACGTGTTCTGCCTGGGGCGCCAGCTGCCACAGCCAGCATTACGCCACTCCTGATTGCAGACAGGATGAAAGCCTACATATATCTTCCCAGAGGATTTCCTCTCGGATCACAGCAAGTATTATTACTTGATATGACCTTGCCACGGTCCCAGCTCTTCCTTTGACTACACGTTCCACATGAGCACAAGCTGCATTCTGGGATCATGTTCCCACCCAGGATATCTGCCGAGTGGTAACATGGCCTTCAGTCCACACATTTACAACTCTCTATGCCATGTACCAACATACCAAAGATGAAGTCACTTTCAGTAGAGCAGTGCTCTAGTCTGCAACTCAGTGCTTCCACCAGATAACTGCTTAGCAGTCACCTACTTGGAATGGACATGAGCAATCACTCGAAGAAGAAAAAACAGTTCTTCAAGGAGTGTCCCAGAGGATGCTCCACTGTAGATGTGTCAAGGCTGATTTCCCACTCTGGGAATGCAGAAGTGGGAGCCCTCAAAAATACCCCAAAACCTTATCTTTCCAGGCTTTGGTATAAATCTTCCCCCAAAATCTTAAAAACTTAGATTTGGGGGATAAAAATCCACTGCCACCACCCAAGTAATGGTAAGAAAACAAGGGAAGAGTTGATTTGGGAAATCTCAGCCCGAAAGTAAAACCAGGACACAAAAATTAACCAATACCAGGTTAATAAAAAAGAAAGAACTTTTATTATCACCACAATACTCCTGTTAAAAGCATAGTTGGATAGGCTCGATGATAAGAGCCAGCAATTAATATACTCGTGCGGAATTTTCCCATAGGGAACAAAACTTATTTACAAAAGAGAGGAAAATCCATTTCTAAATGCACAGACATCAGATCCCATTTCCCAAACCATAAAACAATAAAACCTAACGGATTTATCTAAACTTTACCCTGCTTACAGATAGTGAAGAGTCTTTTCTTGGAGAGAGACATTTTGTCTGTCCCCCTCAGTATCCCCAAAAATTCCTTTGTCCCAGTTTGAAATATATTTGTTTACTGCTACCTGGTTAGATACAGTTAACCCCTTAGTCCCTAGGCTGCTGCCCATCCATCATGGTCGTGACAAGGTGTCTTGGCACCTTGTCAGAACTTATTATCAGAACTTTGTAGTGGCAGTATTCTCCCCGGGTGCCAGCGCACCCATGCAACACTGCCTACAACACAGTGAAAGTGCTGACACGCACGTGCCATCAACCGTCCCCTCAGTTCCTTCTCTACCACAGAGAGGTGTTAAAGCTCCAGAGTAGAGGGGAGTAGGATGGGCCATGGAGCACTCACAAGGACACCCATCTGGAAGAACACCAGTTACTTCACAAGGTGAATAACCTCCCTTTTCGTCTTCAAGGAGTGTCCCTGTGGGCACTCCACCATACCAATTGTGGTACATTGTGAAGGGTAAGTATCTATGGTGTAATGTTTTGTGAAGGTATGCGTGGAGCCCCACGTTGCTGTCCTGCAAATATCCCTGATAGGCACATTGTGTAAGAAGGCTATAGATGTGGCCATTGCCCTAGTGGAACGCGCCTGTAGACAATACCACTTTATTAATGTCATAGCACTACTGAAAGCAGTTTGCTATCCATTTTGAAAGCCTTTGTTTGGATACAGCTTGTCCTTTAAAGTGGTCTGCTATTGAAACAGTCTGTGAAATTGTCTAAATTGTTTTGTTCTATCTAGGTAAAAAGCAATAGCATGCCTAATGTCCAAGGAGTAGAGTCTTGCTGCGTAGGCGTCCAGATGAGGCTTCTGATGAAAAACTGGTTAGTATTTAGGTTCATTAAAGTGAATACATGAGACAACTTTTGGAAGGAACTTCGGATGTGGTCTTAGTATGACTTTATCTTTGTATATGGTATGTGGTAAATGGTGGGGCAGCCCTGAAGACGGCTAGCTCAGTGACCCTTCTGGCTGTTCTGATTGCTATGAAAAATGCCACATTCATGGAAAGGTGTGCCAAAGAGCATGTTGCCATATGTTCAAATGGAGTACAAATCAACGTGTTTACGACTAGGTTGAGATTCCAAGATGGGACTACTGGCTTTATTGGTTGAAAGGTTTTAAGACCTTTCAGGAACTGCTTGGTGGTTCGGTGAGAGAATAGAATTTAGCCATTCACCATGTCGTATTCACTTAATATAGCCACCAAGTGAATCTTAATGGATGCATTAGAAAGATTTTGTTTTCAGTGCAATGAGGCATGGGCAGTTGGTACTTACTGTATGCCTGCTAGCTGATCTATGATTTCAGGATCATATTCCAAGAAATCTAACATCGTGGCTGGCCTCCAAAATGGTACACAGTGGTCAACAGGGTAAAATGTGTCTTCAGAACTGCTGGTCAGAACAGTAACTGATGGTCCGCGTCTAGACTGTCATGATTTTCCGCAAATGCTTTTAACAGAAAAGTTTTTCCGTTAGAAGCAGTTGTGGAAAAGAGCGTCTAGATTTGCATGGACGTTTTTGTGCAAAACACTTTATGCGGAAAAGTGTCCGTGCCAATCTAGACGCGGTTTTACGCAAGAAAGCCCCAATCACCATTTTCCCCATGGGGCTTTTTTGCGCAAAACGGTTCTTAGCTGTCTACACTGGCCCTCTTGCGCAAAAGCATTTGCGCAAGAGGGCTTTTTCCTGAACAGGAGAGTCATTGTATTTGCGGAAGAACACTGACAATCTTACATTAGATCGTCAGTGTTCTTGCGCAAATTCAAAGCGGCCAGTGTAGACAGCTGGCAAGTTTTTCCGTAAAAGTTTTTCCGTAAAAGTGCCAGTCTAGACGCAGCCATGCTGTTTTACACATAAAGCAGCATAGTACTGTTTTAAACTCAAATCTACACAATAAGAGATGTCTGCTGAAGCTAGAATTCTGAAGAGGAGGAAAATGTATTTTTAAGATGTTCAACCCAGATAACTAATTATCCATATAAAGAAAATCCAATTGTTTTAAAGATCATTCTACATAGGTGTCAGGTGAAAGGCCTGCCAGGGAAGGCAAGCTCCAGACCTGCCTCTTTCTGCCTGAAGCCATGCCCACTCCCAGTCCGATCCTTCTGGACGATGTGGAGAGCCATGGCTCCCATGCTGCCGCCCGTGCCCAGCTCTTCTGGGTGGCTGGGAAAAGTGGCCCAATGCCTCCCCAGCGGCTGGGGGAAAATGGGTTCCATGCAGGGGTGGCCAGGGAAAGCCGGGCTGCCTTCCCCAGTAGGGAGGGAAAGCAGAGTTGATGTGCAGCGGCCCAATGCCTCTCCAGAGCGTGGGAAAAGACAAGCTGCCTTCTCCAGCGGCAGCCCCAGGCTTAGGCAGTCGGTCATGTAGGCAATTTTGGGATGGCTCTGCATTACCTACATTACCAACTACCCATGCCATCCTAGATCATTGTAGGTAAACCAGAATTAAAACTTTCCTTCCCTTGACTGTTAATTCTTACAAGCTAAACCTTACTAACTCTTTTGCTATCATCCTTTTCAAAGGCTATGCTAAAGCATCCCCGGGATTGTGGGATACTCTCCCTACAGAGAAAGGACAGAAAGCTGTGCTATTGCTCCAGTTGATTTTTTCACATGTAAAAATGCAAGAATGGGGGAGAGTAAAAGAATAAAATGTAAGTGATCATTTTTTTCAACCTCTGACCAAATCATGCACCTTAAAGTAGATTAAAGATATTTTCTTTTAGCTAGCTGTATATTATGCAGTAGCATTGCCTATTAAATACAAACAGAGCAAAAGAGCAGGACAAATTTGCATATACGTTTCCATCAGAATTATTGATAGTTAAACCCATGATGCCTGGGTCTATAAGCTATTATGGCCAAAGCTGAGCATGTCACTGCACTTGACATGTCTTGGTTTGTACTTGGCATATAATATTTTGAGAGTCATTTTTTTCAAGCATAGAGTAATAGGCTTTAACTTTGTTAAGCTTTTCTGCCAGGCCCTCAGTGCCCTGCTGTTCTATTATATTGAACTTGTAAGCAGGATGCTCTGCCAGGCTCACCCAGATTACTGCTGCAATAAGGGCCCTGCTGAGTGACTAGTGTCATGATAAGTGCTAGGGAGGGAGATCACCATCTTGGCATACTGTTCTCATCTTATTAAATTCAGCTTTGTGGAAGCAGGGAGTCTGCCTCTCAGCCTCACTGGCTCTGGCTCAGTCCAACTGCTACTGTCAGACAATATGAAAATAGGAACCACCACAGCTAATGGCAGGTGCTACACCACAGCTGAGGAAAAAAGGGATTTTTTTTTGTTTTTGATTTAAAGACACTTGACCCGGCTGATTCAAAACCTTCAACTTTTTATTGCTGATATAGCTTTCTTACTCAAAGACATTTCATGAGCCTTGGAGACATTAAAGATGTTTACCTTTTGCAGCAACATTTATCATGATTTAGCAGGGTTGTAACTGGAAAGTAGTATATAGTAAAAAAGGCCTTTAAATATGTCTGATACACCTTGGATTTTAGTAAATCTGAAATATTAAAAGTGGAGTCCTGCAGTCCCTACTGAGGCAGAACTCCCAATGAGATTAACAAGCGTATTTTCAGAGTAAAGATTTTATGATTTGGTTTCAAGACTGTGATTTTTAGAGACAGTAAAGGAGTTAGTCACCCAAGTCTCCTTGGAATTCAATGGAACTTGGGCACTTAACTCCTTTAGGCACCTTTAAAACTCTTCCTATTGCCCCAGAGTGAAGGGATCAGAAAGATGATTCTCCACACAGGTGAGTAGCTATATCCTGGGCTGAAGTTCTGTAGTGGGATGAAGCAGAAGAGTGCAACATTTACAGGAGGGGAATAGGGGATCCACAAGGAACAAAGCAGGTGGACCAGAATAAAAGAGATTGGATGAAAGCCATTTCTGACAGCTTCTTGTCTTGGATCATTAGGGCCTAGAGATATTGGCTGCTTTGTTGGAATTGGATAAGGTTACAAAGAGTCTCTGTTCAGAAAAAAGAAAAAAAAAATCCTTTTGCAGTATTAATTTTCAGAATATTAAATCATCGTTTTTGTAAATATTATTCATCAAAATGGAGTAAGTAGGCAAAAATGTGACCTTTTGAGCATAAGGGATGGCTCCTGGGAATGAAAATGTTATTCAGAAGCTTTTCTAGAAAGAGAAATAAATGGCTTCCACCTTTACTTCTATGTCAGCACTTTAACTGCTGCCTTGACATTAGCAAATGCATCACTTTAGCAATAAAAGTTTGAAATAATCCACATATTCATGTCAACGTGTCTGTAAATTTTACATGATCGACATATGCAGGATAACCTTTCTGAGTGAAGTGTTGATGTAGGGTTGCTACAGACGTTATTGTGTAGAAAAGCCAAGTTGGGATCAATACAGAATTCAGATTTCAGATGCTTTTATGGTAAGAGTCGCTAAGCCTGACAAGTCGCAGTTCAGCAGCATACTTGTTGGCCATGTCAGCCTTCAGAAGAATGACAAGCTTGATTAGTATCTCTCAGAGAGACTGATATAAAAATTCAGACAAAATGTGATCTTTCTGCTAATTTGCAGTATCACATTTATAATCCGTTCCAGACTCAAAGTTACAAAATAAAAAACGTAACATTTTAAGTCTATGTGGAGAAATGAATAAGAAAATTATGTCTTCAACAGATGTGACATTTTTATACTTGAAAAATAAAAAATAATGGAAAGGTTCCCTCTAAGCTGCAGAGCTTAATGAGCTCTGCCCAGGGGCTCAAGGCTGCCGCACACACAGCTGTTTGGCTGGGGTAGAGGTACTTCTCCCCCTGGTGCAGTAGCTCCCTGCTGTGAATGGAGAAGCTCGCCTCGCTTAGCTGATAGATAGGGGACATAAAGCAGAGAGAGGCAGGGGTAAGTGGCTGGGGGTGGAGGGGAGTTTGGGGCATCCTGACTCCCAGAGCTCTGCCCAGGGGCTCAAGGCTGCCGCACACACAGCTGTTTGGCTGGGGTAGAGGTACTTCTCCCCCTGGTGCAGTAGCTCCCTGCTGTGAATGGAGAAGCTCGCCTCGCTTAGCTGATAGATAGGGGACATAAAGCAGAGAGAGGCAGGGGTAAGTGGCTGGGGGTGGAGGGGAGTTTGGGGCATCCTGACTCCCAGCTGGCCTGCCACAGCTGGGAGAGGAGAGACTACTTGGATTATAGCAGCTAGCTGCTCTCTTTGCTGCCGGCTAGGAGGGAGTGGGGAACAGAATGCAGAGAGAGGAAAAGAGGGGGAATAGTGTGGGGGGAAAAATTGGAGAAT